AAGGTGCGAAGGGATCCCTGGCTCCCGGTGAGCCGGAAGTCCAGTAGGTGGGTGTGGAGGGCCCTCCCGGCCAAGCCCGTAGGACTTGGTTTCCCCGCTCGTCTCTGAACTGCCGCCTCAGGGACCGTCATCCCGCGTGACTTCTGAAGCGCAGGAAGGGCTGTTTGCTGTTGCTGGAGTGAGAGGTGGGAACAGCAGCAGGGGAGGCACGCCCGCTGGGCGGCCTTGGATTTTTGTTCTGCCAGGGCGACTGGACCTTCCGTAAAGCATTGCCCAGAGGGCCTGTGTTCCTGAGACCCCCCCTTCTTCCCTGGGATCTGTGTGTATATTGTACCTTTTCTCAAGGTACAAAATCTGATCTCAATTTGAAAGGATATGAATGTTTACTTCTTAGAAGGGCATCATGTTAATGTCAGTACTACTGGTATTTCTATGAATGCACAGTATTCTCATAATCCTGTTTTGCCCATTCACATATTCATTCAGTGGATATTTCCTGTGCCAGGAGTGTGTGGGTGGTGTCTGGGTGGGGTGCTGGGCGGTGTCCTGAAGGTAAATCGGGTTTCCCGGCCTTAGGCGGGCAGAACCCCTGGTCTGAGCAGAGGTGCTGTGCTGTGGAGCCTCCTGGGCAGCAGGCACCGTGAGGGCCTCCGTGCCAGGTGCCTCCCCAGGGGGGCTGTGGCTGGGCCTATACCTCTCTTCCCCCCTCACCCCTTCTCACTCAGTCTTCTGGCTCCAGATGTCCTTGGTGTGCCCTTCAGAGACTTGCTGGCCCCTGAGCAGGGCCATCCTTGGCCGGGACTTGCTCAGCTGACCACAGTGCTCCAACCTTGCTGGGCGCTGCACTCTGAGCCCCGTCTTGTCGTCTGGTTTAGAGCTGTCTGAAGGCCGGCCTTCTCTGCCCCTGGCCTAGATCCAGATGTCAAGGACACACATGTCTACCTTTTGGGGCTGTTTCAATATACAGAGTTTTACTTAATAGGCTCTCAGGTTTCATTCTTTTTTTTTTTTTAAAGATTTTATTGGGGAGTTGGGGGATGGGAACAGTGCTGGGGAATTGGGGGAAGGGGAACAGACAAGTTGCTGTCCTTTTGTTCTTCAGTCTAGTTGTGGAGGACGTTGCTTCACTGGCCCAAGTTGGCACCATCATTGCGCTCTTCCCAGGTGAGGCAGATCAGTCGCTGGCTTCTGGACGGCCGCTCACTGCGGCTGCTGGCTGCTCACACTGGCTGCCGGCCACACACGGTAGCTTATGGCAACCCACTGCCACAGGGGCTGCAGCCTATGCCATCGCTGGCGACTCACAGCAGCCCAACTCCAGGTCGAGCTGCCGTTCACCATCTTAGCTGTAGAGGGCAGTGTCACTGGCCCTCATACGTGGGATCCGAACCAGGGCCCTCTGGCGTCCCAAGCCTGTTCTTAACCATCGTGCCACTCGGCCAGCCCTCATTCTTTTCTTATTGTTTGGATTTCCAGGAGAACCCATCTTCCCTACCTGGGTTTCAAAAAAATTGAGAAATGAAACAAAATAGTGGCAGATAGAGACCAAAGAATAACTTTTATTTCTTCTAAATGAGAAGCTTGAAATCCTATCTTAGTGTGAGAGACAAATAAACTGGCTGACTGAATCCCAGGGTTATTCAGGCTTACCCACCCCATTGGAGCCAATGCCGGGCCCCACAGGCCGCCTCGTGCACCAGAGCCTTCTCGGGGAGCAGCCTGCTGGGAGGTGGGCAGCCTTCCTGGGGGAGCGGCCTTCCCGGGGAGCAGCTGACTCAAAGAGGTGTAAGGAGGGCTGAACCCCCAGGCTGTTTATTCTCCTAGATTTAGCAACTGATGTCACCTTTTGGGGTGAGTATTCTGGGGATAAAGAAATGCCGGAGTGGTACCTGGTGAGGTCCGTCTACTTGGAAGCGTACCTCTGGTTTGGGGGGTGCTGCCACCTAGCTCTCAGCTAGTTGTGACACACCCATTAGGTACCTGGTCAGCCTTTTGTGGAGAGGGCGAGGAGGTAGACCCTCAGTCCGCGAGGACAGGCAGCCCCCGGTGACGCCCCTGCTCATTTGAGTGGTCCCCTGGGACCTCTAGGGCAGGGCGTTACTCTGAAATTTGTCGGAATTGAACCTTAATTAAAGAAGGCCTCTTCCCCAGGCTGCGAAATCACTTTCCAGTTTAGTTCTCGTCCTTAGTTATACCTGGCTTCATTGCTCAGTCTGGCTCATCAGAAACTCCACCGTGAGATTAAATGGCGGTGTGTAAACTCCCAGCAACACAGCAGCCCCGAATTTGAAGACAAACCTCTTTCTCTCCCGATTTCCAGACAGAGATGAAGTCTTAAGGGCTAACTCTTGTACGTTCAAGCCCAAAACCAAAATTTCTTTTCCCTGTTCAAGTTCAAATACGTTACAGCTCACAGTTTGTCCTCAGCTTGTGCTGTCATAGCGAGAGGGGCGCCTGTGTCTCACGGGGATGCACACAGTTCCTTCAGGGCCCAGAAGCCCTGTGCATTCAGTGCTGGCCTCTGACAGTCCTCACTTCTCCAGAGCTCACAATTCAGCAGGACCCAGCAACGTGCCACCAAACCTGGGAAACATAACCCCCAGGGAGCCTGTTCTTTGTGCCACCAAGGGTCACGGAGGGGCCTTGGCCTCGCTCTGAGTGAAGTCGGGCCTGGAGCTCTTCTCCGTTTTGCCTCGCAGAAATGTGACAGTTTGGCCTCCAGAGCCTGTCACTTGAATCCACTTGGGAGAAATCTGCCAGCAAGAGGTTAGGGCTGAGTCTGTTCATTTTCCATTTTGGGGGAAGGAATCCTGTGTTGCCTTGTGGGCATTTCTGGTCCTGCTCTGGTAGGAAAATGGCGTGTGTGCTCATGTATGCGTGTGCGCCTGAGCACGCATGTTAAGCAGAGGACGTGCTGACTAGGCCAGAGTCAGGTACTTGTCACATTTGGTCCTTGGCCTCAGAGGCCAGTGCTGTTATAGCTTGGAGGTCACCTCTCAGCTGCATTTGTTTCACCGGGCAGAGCCCCCCGCAGGTCCCGGAGCCGGCGGCACTGTCCCAGCGCCTCCTGAGGGTGATCCTGACCTGGACCACGCGCGCCTTTGTCCCTCCTCCAGGTTTGGAGTCTTTAACTTCCACGGCATGCCCCCCAGCACAGCATAACTGCCTCCGGCCATCCAGGAACGTTGTCCTCAAAGCATTTTCCATGTCAGGGCCAGTCCCCCGCCGAAAGCAGGGTGAGATGGGGGGTAGCTGCTCACATGCCCCCAGTCGTGTGATGTGTGCAGATACCTGCCGTCCTCCATGTGACAGCCGCAGGCACGTCCCCCACCATTCACAAAACCAGGAAGATTCCACTTTCAAGGTCATGCCCTCGCCTTGGCTGGGCCTGAGCCACCTGGCGGGCTGCAGCTATCCATGGCCCATGCCTCGCCCACGTGTTGCCCACACGTCACTGAGGCTGGGGACCTCAGTCCCCTTACTCCCCAATGTCGCTTCCTGAGGACAAGCTGCCCAGCTCCTAGCACTGTCCGCACTTGCTCAGTAGAGCTCAGGCCACGGGCGCAGTGCTCTCCGTTGCTGCACGTTTTTGCACGTCCTTCTGCTTATATTTCTTCGTGGGCCTTAGGGACCCCCCTAAAGAACACTCCCCAGGCCTCCTGTGTTAGTTTCCTGTGGCTGCTGTAACCAATCAGCACAGACTTAGTGGCTTAAAATGACACATTTATCATCTTCAGTCTTGGGAGACCGAAGCCTGGTGTGCGTCCCCCGGGGCTAAGTCTGGTGTGGGCTGGCTGCCCCCTTCCTGAGGCCGCAGGGAGGGCCTGTTCCCCTCCTTTCCCAGCCCGCCTCTTGCTGGGCTCCGGCCCTTCGTCCACCTCCACAGCCAGCAGCGGCCGTGACCTGACGCAGACGCTCCTGTGTCCCCCTGCTACCTGCAAGGACCCCAGGGTGACATTGGGCCCCCTGGCATCATCCAGGAGGACCTCCTCGTTTTCGTCAGTTGATCAGCAACCTTAATCCCCTTTGCCAGGTCCAGGGTTTGGGCTGTGGGCGTCTTTGGGGGTTATTATTCTGCTTTCCGTAATCACCAGTGTGTGTGTCTGTTGCTGCATGAGTCCAGCTGAAACCCTCGTTCCAAAAATGGCCTGAGCAGCGGCTGAGGCGCCTGTGGCGAATGCCCCCAGGTGGGACGAAGTGGGGACGACTTTCCTCTCTGGCCATCCGTGCTCTCAGGTGATGGCAGAACTGGCCGTAGGGCCACCATTCCTGAGAACCTGCTGCATCGCGAACCTTCTTACACACTCGCTGACATCATTTCCCTGAGACCCCAGTGCGGCCCCAGAAGGCAGCAGTATTGTTCCCATTTTACGGATGAGGAAACGGAAGCCCAGAGAGGTCGTGTTCCTTGACCTGGTCACACAGCTCCTAACTACCGAGCGGGCTCCCAGCCCAGGTCTGTCTGACTTAGCCCGCGACGCCTGTGCTGGTTCTCCTGTCTTGGTTCATGAGCGTCCTCACCTGAGTTCATGGACCGCGGTCCCACGTTCACGCTTCTCCTGCAGTGGCCCTGTCACTGACCCTGTGTCAGCACCGGGCACGGTCGCCATTTCATGGGGCTGGGCTGACTGTGCGTGGCCCGTGTGCAGCCCAGGCAGCGGCTCCCAGCAGACACTTCCCTAAATGCGCTACACGTGTCGGTGCCCGTTTGTTCAGTTTCAGTGCACATGTCACACAGCTACACGTAGGCATGTCCATTAATGTCCCTGAGGCCGGCGTGCTGGTCCTCTGACGTCAGGAAGCGCTGGACTTGAGCAGCACAGAGCGAGACCCGATGGCACTGCCGTGGGCCGTGCCACGCAGCCTGACGCAGCGGGCACATGCCCGTCTGTGAGTTCGTGCTGTTACAGAAGTGCCCACCTGTGTCCCCACGGCTGGTTCCCCTCGGACAGTGTGTGATATTCCTGAGCGTGGAATGTTCATTGTTATTTTTCCCTTAGGACAACTACACCTTCGCCCAGCCTGGGATTCAGATGAAGGTGAAAATGCTGGAAGAGCTTGTGAGCCGGATTGACGGTGAGCCAGGGGCTGGGGACAAGGAGGTGGGGGGCGCGGGTGGCAGGGCGCGTCCTCGCCCAGCTGTGGCCCCTGGCTCACCAGGGCGGTGCTGGGCATCCCTCTGAGACCGGCGCCGGGGCAGGAGCTGCTCCCTCGCCTCTGGTTCAGGCGACCCACTGGGATGCAGCACAGACACTTTGCAGGAAGTAATGAGCGCCTCCCCGGAAGCAGGCTGCTCGCTCCTTATTAAAATGCCCAGTGATTGTCGTAATCTGGGCAACAGCATGGTTGTTTATGGCCGTCCTTTGGCACCCTGTCCCCTGCCTTTGTGTGTCATTCTGCTATCGGGGATGCTGGCATAATTTCTCCATGGAATCCAATTAATTACCAAGTCTGGAAATAACATCTTTCATATTATAGAAAAATTAAAGTGTGTGCTCGGGCCGTTTTAGATTATGCTTTCATGTTTAAGTGGGGGCTTTGAAATACTTTTTACCTTTATCCTTAAAGTAATTCCCCCTGTGATGTGCTGACTGTCATATTGCAGTAGCAGAGTTTAATTAAATGAAAGTGGAGAGATAATGCTTGCCTGTTCCAGCATATTCTCCTGATAGTTTGTTAAATTAATGAACAGGCCATTAACGAAGTGATACGAAGCAGAAACAGGCGTAGATTTGTGACAGCAGCCGGCCAGCGACGAGGTCCAGTGAGGGGAAGGCTCTTGCATGAAGACCCCGTAGAGCTCGGCAGACGTGCACTGAATGTATGGGAAACTGTATCTTGCTTACCATGTGGAGTGTGCCTTCCACATGGCCTCTCACCCTTGCACATCCTGTGCCTCTCCCCGGCTGTGCCATGAGCTGCACACGACCACAGTGCCGATCTTCACAGGACCGGCACATGGCCTGGGAAACGCCGACTGACGTTAGCGCGTGAAGTCGTATAAGTTATAAACTCCGTTTTGTTCCCTGACTGAATTTGGTTTTCAACTGTGTAGCTAGTGGTTATGACTCAGTTTCCACATTAGGAAGCTTTACACAGTTCTTCCAATAACACTTTATTCAATTCAGCCTATTTAGCTGCCTCTCAGCCTGTCTGTTCAAAATGCTGTCTCTTCCTTACATAGCTGTACCGATGTACGTTTATTGTTAATTTCACAGTGAGATCTTTTCCCGATTTGTTGGATTTTTTTGTTCCCCGACCAGCAGTTTCAAACTGTTCCCCAGCCTTGTTTAGTTCTTTGAAATACGATTTGCTTTAGCTCTTCTTTTCCGGTTTTGTCCTGGGAGGCAGATTTCATCTTTGTGTGGAGGTTGGGGCGCTGCCTGCCGTTCATGCCTGTCTGTTCCAGGGCTGCGGTTTGGGAAATACTTGAGTTGCTTCTGTGTTGCTGGGGTTCAGGAAGACACACACCGCGGGTTTGCCGGATGATGGTGTAAA